TACATTTTGTCCCTGGCAAGAAAGAGCTCAATTTCTAGGAGTTTCTTTGAAAATAAACTCCACAAGGAAAAAAATCCCACATTTAGGAAAAACACAACAAAAGGTAGTCACCTTTATATGTTTTTTAAATTTTAAGAGAAAATATATAATTTTAGGGTATCATCCAAGAATAAGTTAGTATTTGAATTAAAATATATAATTATGTTTTAATCAGGTGTTGCTTTTCGCTGAATCATATGTACAGTTTATTGAAACAAAGGAGGAATAACAATTCTATAAAATGTTGTGTCATGGATTTAGTCCTGAGTCATTTATTATGTATATGATTCCTGAGTCACTAATTACTAAGGCTTTCCTATAAGGAAAAGATTACTAACAATGGGCAAAGTGAGTGATTGTGAAGCTTTTTGAATACTAATTATTATAGCTACAGAGAGACTTTTTTAAACCATATTGGAGGAATTAAATTCTGTTAAATTAACATTTATTTCAAAAATAGATATTAGCATCACTTTTCACTGAGACACGTGTATTTTTTTCCTGAGAAATTAAAATAAATTTGGGGGATTTAGAAGCTTACAAACAAGGTTATAAAAACTGACAACACTATAGTAATTTTATTATCTAGAGAGGGAGGAGTTTATAGATTGTATATTAGAGAGACCTTTTGAAAGTAAAGGCTTTTGGCCCTTAATTTGGTTTATAATACTAAAACCTAATATATGTAGTTTCTGTAATGAAAAAATCGAACTAAAATAATTAAACTAATGATTGCTGTTATATTTTTATGCAGTTGAAGTTAAGTTTGATAAGTTTTAAACATAGCTCATTCTAGACTACAGCTAACAACAATTTGGAAATGGCCTTAGTCCTTCCCTACTGTCTGCCCGCCCCCCGCACCCCCTCAAGCCCCTCAAGCCCCCCACGCCCTCCGCCCCCCAGACTATTCTGCACTTTGAAACACAAAGCAACTTGCCAGTTCAGTTTATTCAGTTAGGGTCAATTCTGTGAAAACAAAGTCAAGGCAATTGTTTGATTTAATTGACTAGTGAAACTGGTTATACAGGTAAGTAGAATTTAGTTTTATTTTTGTGCCGCTGCATATTTGAATGTTCATAAAGTAACTTAGTAGAGTAATAAGATTCCAGTGACATTGTAACAGATTTTAAAGAATGATTACCAAAGCAAGGAAAAAGAGCACTAAAACCCAAACTATAGAAAATATTCATGGTATTTTTTTCTTTATAGCTCTGCTTTCACTATAATGAATTGTGTCTGAAAAAAGAAGTCTTCTTTTCTTTCACTATTCATTTCCTTTTCTTTGAGGAATTATTTCCTGGGCCCTACTTAATATAACCGTAGGAAATTTTCTGATATAATTTAGAGGAATAGTCTAACTTACAAAGTAGTCCTCAAACTGCAAGCAGATATTCTCTAACAGTTGGTCAGCCACCTCTTGGCTTCACTTTCCTCCTTACCTACCTGGACCTCGTGGTTGATCATTCTAACAATAATTGTTGATGCCCTTAATTCTTTCTGCCTTCCGCTGTTACCTTCCGCTATACCCATCTTGCTCTTCTCCACACCTTTAGCTTCTAGGATGCTGGTCACTCATTATTTTTAGTGAGAACAGAAAACCAGAAAATTGCAGTGCTAAAATAAATGATATGTTTAGATCTTAATATAAAAAATATGGATCTTGTAAATGTAGTTCATTTGAGAAAAAATATAAATCATTTCTTGTCCCAGAAAAACAGCAAATCTTTAGCCTCAATTGAACTTGTTAGGGATTATGAAAGGAAAGAGGAAAAAAAAATTTTACACGTATAAAAGGCTAGAATTTTATTATCAAAGAACATTTTAAGGTCAAAGTAGGAATTTTATAATATTTTTGTTCTTTGTAATAAAATACTCCTTTCCCCACTCCCTCACTTTTATAATAGATATTCACCACTTTTATTGATTGTTCAGTTTTTGCATATCCAACTTTTGAGAACTCATTATGTACCAAAGGAGAGGTTGCTGATATTGACAGTGCTGTGTTTAGTCCTATACTGACATACATTTTACATTTGCTTAGGAAAAAAGAGCAAGCACAAATAAACAAAAAAACTAAGGGTGATTGGGTATATAAGTTAATATAATCCTTTAGCAAAGAACTTAATATGTCCAGAGCATTACATAGTCATACTCCTTAGTGCATGTCCTGTTCTGAAAAATTTAACAAAGGAAATATTAATTTAAGAAATAATATCTACAATATAAAAAAAAGTTTGTTGTAGCATTATTATACTAGTCAAAAATGGATAACATCCTAAATGTTTCTTACTATCAGCAATGTAATTAAATTATGGCACATTTGCTTAGTAGACAGTGTTGTAACCATTAAAAATATAAATTAAGGTACTCCAAAAACTTGGAAAAATGATTATGATATAAGGTGAAGTGAAAAGGCATAACATGAAATTGTACATAGTATATTAGCAATGAACAATCCAAAAAGGAAATTAAGAAAACAATTCCATTTATAATAGCATCAAAAAGACTAAAATACTTAGGAATAAATTGAATCAAACGGGAAAGATATGTACACTGAAAACTACAAAACATTAGTGAAAGATATTAGGGGAGACCTAATAAATGGAAAGACATCCCATGTTCATGGATTAGAAGACAAGATTGTTAAGATGACAGTACTATCCAAAACGATTTACAGGTTCAGTGCAATCCCTATCAAAATCCCAATGGCATTTTTTTTTTGCAGAAATAGAAAATCCATTCTAAAATTCGTATGGAATTTCAAGGAACCCTGAATGGCCAAAACAATCTTGAAGAGGAAAAACAAAGTTGGAGGACTCACACTTGCAGATTTTAAAACCTACTACATGGGCCAGCCCCGTGGCTTGGCAGTTAAGTGCGCGTGCTCCGCTACTGGCGGCCTGGGTTCGGATCCCGAGCGCGCACCAACACACCGCTTCTCCGGCCGTGCTGAGGCCGCGTCCACATACAGCAACTAGAAGGATGTGCAACTATGACATACAACTATCTGCTGGGGCTTTGGGGAAAAAAAGGAGGAGCAATGGCAATAGATGTTAGCTCAGAGCCGGTCTTCCTCAGCAAAAAGAGGAGGATTGGCATGGATGTTAGCTCAGGGCTGATCTTCCTCAAAAAAATAAATGAATAAAATAGAACCTACTACAAAGCTACAGTGATCAAAACAGTATTCTACTGGCATAAAGATAGACATACAAGATTAATGGAATAGAATAAAGAGCACAGAAATAAACACTCATATATATGGTCAATGGTTTTTCAACATCGTTGCCAAGACCATTCAATCAAGAAAAGACAGTGTTTTCAACAAATGATGCTGGTAAAACTGAATATCTATATGTAAAAGATTGAAATTGGACACCTACCTTACATTACATACAAAAGTTAACTCAAAATGGATCAAAGACCTAAATTTCAAAGCTAAAGGTATAAAACTCATAGAAGAAAACATAGGAGAAAATCATGACCTTGGATTTGGCAATGGTTTCTTAAAAATGACAACAAAAATATAGGCTTCAAAAGAAAAAATAGGTAAGTTGGATTTCATCAAAATTAAAAACTTTTGTGATCAAAGGACGTTATCAAGAGAGTGAAAAGACAACCCACAGAATGGGAGAAAATATTTGCAAATCATAGATCTAATAAGTGTTTAATATCCAGAATATATAAAGAACTCCTATAACTCAACAACCAAAAAACAGACAACCTAATTAACAAAAGAACAAAAGAATTGGATAGACACTTCTCCAAAGAGAATGTACAAATGGCCAATAGGCACATGAAGTAACAGTGTTGGCAAGGATGTGGAGAAATTGGAACCAAAGTGCATTGCTGGTAGGAATGTAAAATGATAAAGCCACTGTGGAAAACAGTTGGCAATTCCTCAAAAAGTTAAATATAGAATTACCATATGACCCAGCGATTCAACTCCACTCCTAGGTAGATACCCAAAGGAATTGAAAACAGGGACTCAAACAGATATTTATACACCACTGTTAATAGCAGCGTTAGTCACAATAGCCAAAAAGTGGAAACAACCCAAGTGTCCACCAACAGATGGATGGATAAACAAAATGTGCTAAAAACGTACAATGGAATATTATTCCTCCCTAAAAAGGAATGAAATTCTGATAAGTGGTACAACATGGATGAACCTTGAAAACATTACATTAAGTGAAATGAGAAGACACAGAATGACAAATATTATATGATTCTACTTATATGAGGTATCTAGAATAGGCAGACTTCTAGAGACAGATAGTAGAATAGAGGTGTCCGGGGGTGGGGGGAGTGTTTCTGTTTAATGTGTACAGAATTTCTATTGGGTTGATGAAAATATTCTGGAACTAGATACTAGTGATGGTTACATAACATTGTGAATGTGCTTAATGCCACTGAATTGTACACTATAAAATGGTAAAATAGTAAATTTTATGTTATTTATGTTTTGACCATAATTTTTTAAAAATGTATTTATACATAGTGATTTAGGTACATAAATTATCTATTTTACAAGTAAGGATGGAAGAGAATATGAAGACATGAAAAAATTACTAAATTGTAGTATGATTATATTATTTTGAATAGAAATAATGGTCAAATAAAAGATTTTCATTTTTAGCTAATGGATATTCATTAAAAGATAAATTTTATGTCACATATCTTCTCAGACCAACAAATGGCAAGAAAATTTAGGTATCCCATCCCCAAAATTGGTAACAATATTTTATTTAAAATTTTTCTTCTCTGTTTTATTGTTGTTATTATTATAAAGAATAGTTATATTGATTAATAATTTTTAAAACCTTCTAATTTACACGAGAAAGGCTTTTAAGAGTAATTCGTGTAAGGTAGAGTTGGTGTCCTATATCTATGCCAGAGTGTTTTGAATAGTTTTAGTTTCTTGAAAAATTGTCTAGATTTTAATGAAAGCTGTTTTTCTTTAGCTTGACAGGGCCAATTCTCTATTAAACCAGGCTCAACAACCTTACAGATATCTCATTGAATCAGTACGTCAGAGAGATTCTAAGATTGATTCACTGAAGGAGTGTATTACACAACTTGAGAAAGATGTCAGGTAAACCATCTACAAATCTTTTATTTGAATAATAAAGGCATTATAAACATAATATTATATATTAGATGAATATTTGGGTTGTAAATTGTGAAGAAAAATTTAAATAATGAAGGTGATCTTAAATGTAATGAGTATTAAATTTCTCTTAGAAAAACCAGGTCATATCACATTAAGTATTTATGATCAGAAGTCTTAGCCTGGGCATAACAATGCTACACTTATTAACAAAGCACTCCACTCTCTGTAGGGCACACAACTGCTAGCCTGTCCCTGTTCCCCTAGAATTCTTTAGTGGGATGGGGGTTGACCAAAGGGAGAGGAGGAATATAACCAGATGTCATTTGTGGAGTCAAAATAACTTTTTAAACAGATGAAATGTACACATTCACTTAGATTCGTGTTGACTTTGCCAAGGAATTTTTAGGCTTTTCTTCCCCTGACCCTTTACATGAAGTAACCTGTGAATTACCTAAATGTAAGTAAAATCCTTTCAGTTCCTTAGATTGAAATTGTTTTCTTACATGACACCCTATCCAAAAGACTTGCTCCATTTAATAATCATTCAAATTCTTACCTGTTCATCTATATGATTATTTTAGTCTTTTTAAATTGCAGTAAAAAAAGGATGCTATGCATAAAGAAAAAGGTTTTAACTTGTGGAAGGTTGGTTAGTTGACTTAGTTGTTTTTAGATTTTAAGATTATTAGAATAAATTATTAGATAAATTATTAACCAATTCATAAATGTAGAAGCAGAGAATTAGATGGGAATGGAATTGTTAAATTAAAGAATTGGAAAACAAGAAGATAGTTACTAAATTCAGGTTTCCTAAGGTATATAACCAAAAATATAAAACTACTGGTAATTGACTGCAAAGTATGAGTGCTCTTTTTGATGAATCAGAATCATTATCTTCTCCTCTCATTTCTACTCCACCAAAATAATTGGTCCAGAACTTTACTCCTGAACTTAATTTTTTGATAATATAATAAAATAATTTTGAATCACCTTTATGCTTTAAATGTCAACATAAATAATAATTTATTTCTAGATTAATTTTAAGGTTAAAAATTGTATTTAGAATATACATAACCAGCATTAATAAATTAATTCAGTGAATTAATTAAGCAATTTTATAAATTGCTATTGGGGCAATAGAAATTGTCTCATCATTCACTGGGTACTTGGTTATCTTAGGGAATTGATGAAAAACCCCCAATAGAACTTTTCCTTCCTATATTACAGTATACATTTTTGTTATATTTGAAGTTTTGTATAGAGTCTTGTTTTACCTTTATAATCTTGGAGTGGGTCTATATAAAAGGCCTATGGAAAAAATTACCTCTTTCACAGTTACCTTCAAATAAATTTATTTGAATATTTATTTTACTAAGAATTTAAATAGCTAAAAATGTTTAATATAGAGAAAAATATTAGCTAGCTATAGGAGAAAATTATAAAGATGAACAAATTCAGCCCTAGAGAAATGAAGCAACTTGTCATCTAAGAACATAACAGTTTTGCGGTAGGACCCAAACTTGAATCCAGACCTTTCTGCTTTCTAATTCTGTACTCTTAACCATTATGTTATACTGCCTCCCTATGTTCTTTTCTGAATAAGGGATAATTTTTCATTAACTAATATTATTAGAGAAGAGAAGCGAAAAAAAAGTGTAGAATAGTGGTTAAAAGTAGGACTTTAATGAGTTGATAATTGTTGAAGCTGGATGACAGATACATGGGGGTTATTTATATTTTCTCTCTTCTTTTGAAATATTCAATAATAAAGTTTTTTTAGAAAACAGATTTTAAAAGGGAGTACAGGTTCAATAGATAGGTTGCATGGCTTCAAATCCAGCTCAGTACTTAGTTTTGAATTCGAGCAAGTCAGTTAAACTCTCTAAACCTCCATTGTCCAATAGAACTTTCTGGAATGATAAAAATATTCCATATCTGCAATGTCCAGTATGGTAACCACTAGCCACATGTGGCTTTTGAGCATCTGAAATATGCTTACTATTACTGAGGAACTAAATTTTTAATTTTATTTAAATTAATTTTAATTTCCACTTGTGGCTGGCTAATGGCTGTGATATTGGATAGTATAGCCAGTTTTCTCATCTGTGAAATGAGAGTGATACTAACAGTACGTAATTCATATGGTTATTCTGAGCATTAAATGATATAATCTTTGTACTATATATAGCACTGTATACACACATTATAAATGCTCTATAAATGTTATTAGTATTTATCTTACATTTAATAAATTTTTATGTTGAAAATAATCTTAAAAATGAGAAATAACATTTCTCGAAATATGTTGAATTTTGACAAAAATTAGGCCTCCGTTAATAACAGCAACAGAATCATAAAAACTATGCCAGTTATGGAATTAACTACAAAAAATATTTTTTGTGCTAAACATTTGAGTCCTTTAAGGCTGTCTGTGTTTCATAAATTTATTGCCTAATGTTTTAGTAGATTCAGAACTGATGTTTCACGAATATGAAATCTTGCTCCTAGGTAAAGCTACTACCTCCTAATGTGAAAAATTAAGATGCTTTCATTAGTTTAATTATGGCCTTTGAGGTGCTGTCAAGGTACCCTGAGACATGAATGAAATGATGGGATACCATGAAAAACAGCCCAATCAACAAGTCAGATACTGTAGGATAGATCACAGTTCTATCTACCGTCGCCCTACTCTGAACTGATGACATTTCAAATGTAGTGGAATTATCCTGGGCTTTGAATACATGTCAGCCTGGTTTCACTTCTCGTGGTAAAGTGTCTGTAAAATATAGATATTAATATGAACATCAAGGGGTAGTTGTGAAAATTAAATGAAGTAACATATATAAAGCTGCTGGCACATGGGAGAAACTTGGTAAATATTACTTCCCTTCCTCTTGTCCTTCATTAATTCGAAATTTAAACATTAGATGACCCATCCAAAAAGATTACTAAGTGATTATGTTCCTTGAAAATTCCTATTTCTCTTTGCTGGGTGTTGATTTTAATTGTAAAGAATATTTACATTAATTGATTATTTTTTAAATGTTTCTCTAGCTTATACAATAAAAGCTCTTTACAGAATGAATAATTTTATCATTTTCTTAGAAAATAAAACAATACCACTATACCACACCTACAACTTGCAATTTAACTATTTATACAGTATATGCAATGTCTAGAAAGCTTAGAGTAAATATGCACTAAGATGAAATCGCTATAAACATGTTAAAAGCTAACATTTGAGATATCACTATTAATTACTTTAAATTTCCATATCATTAAAGTAATAATCTGTTTTAAAAGTACTGCTGTTAACTCTCCTCCACCAAGCCACAAGAGAGAGTCTGGGTTATATAGTTTGACCTATAGTTCAGAACCGAAGGAAGCATGGAAAGGGAATAATTAGCATAAATTTTCTTTCCCTGTTGTCAGTTCTCCGTTTATTTGTAACTAGTAGTTTAAGAAGAAAAGACAACTTAGCCTTGTAATGCTAAGCCAGGTTATATTGATCCAGGAAGTTAAGGAACAATGTATCAGGAATATGTTTTCATATAGCAGGTAAAACAGAGCCATAAACATGAATTTCTGAGTAATAATTAACAGTGAATTGAACAATTATGGGTGTAATATACCATTCACGATAGATGTGCTTATGAGGAGATTTGTTTTGTAGTTACTTTATGAGTCACACGTAGAAGCTTTGTACTTTTAAAGGTAAGTTTCCACTGTTACGAAATGTGTCTTATGGAGACTAAACTTCTATTGAGTAATTACATATACTGGAAGAACACAGAGTATAAAAATCATCATATTCAGTTTTAGTGACCCACCTGGTGGTCTCCCTTGTGGTTTAAAAGTGTATTATAGAGAAATCTAAGACTTTGAAAACGTATACCCAAGTATTGTCTGTGGAGTCTGGACTGTTTGTGATAAACCGACGTCTTTAAGATAGAATAGAATTGCTCTGTAAAACCAGTTCATCCACCCACCTTTTATTCCATGTTATCTGGTTATTTTTGCTATTTAAATATGGAATATTTACTTTATTCTGGAAAAAAATTAAACACTACATATAAAGCATTACTAACAAATTATCCAGTCAAAATCCTTTAATTACATCAACGTTCCATTCCTATTACACTACATTTTATTTAATGGGCCAATTGGTATTGGAGAGTGTGTGTGTGTGTGTGTGTGTGTGTGTGTGTGTGTGTGTGTGTGTGTGTGCATGCATGTATGTACTGCCCATGAGTGTATGTTAATGTACTGTGTGTATGTGTGTACCTGTATATGAACATTAACACATATCTGTTCCTGGAAAATACCTATTCCTATTTACTGGGTGTTTATTTTAATTTTGAAAAATATTTTCAAAGTGATTCTAGCTAAAGATAAATTAGAATTCTACAGTTACAGAATCATCTGATCTTTACCACAGTTTGGAGGACTCTGACAGAACACAGCACTCAATTCCCTTTATATCATTTAGTTCTTTTCAACTCTGTGGCTCAGTAACATCTCTGATGCCTAACTCCAAAAGTTAATTTGTTTTTCTACTGAGCTTCTTACCTTTATTGACATTTAATTACTGTTTTCCTCTGATGCCTGCTTTTCATCTAAATTGGTCATACTCTATAGCATTTATGTAGAGTTATATGTGTTCAGTGCTTTATATAATCTTTCATTAGATAATTTGCATATCCATTTGACATACCTGATTGTTATTTTCTACTTTTACAGATGTGAAATCAGAGGTTTAGTGGGGTAGTGTGTGTTGTGCTTTATACCACACAGTTGAGTCAGTGGCACAGTTGGAAACAAGTCAAAATTGCATCTAGTCTTTTCTTCTCAGAGGACAAACTATGATGCTTCCTTGGGGAAATTCTCAATACCAGGAAAGAGGAGAATGTGAGCTTTTTCCTCTTGAGTCCTTGGAATTACCAGTTCTTCCAGAATACCTACTAATATCCCTTGAATTTGAAAAAAATTATGCCTAACATTTTAAAAATTGGTGGCTTACCATTTTCTTAAAGTATAACTTAAACATCTTGCCTATTCAGCAAAACAATTCTCATTAATTTTACCATCACAGAGTTTGTTTTGACATTTAAGGAATTATGTTGCTTCAATTCATTGCTGCTTTTCTTAATTCTTATTGTAGTGCTGGCTGAGTAGATTCCTTCCAGGGGCTTTCAAAGAATATTTCATTTAATGGTTCAAATTAATTTTTATATGCTGAATAATAAAACTCCAGACAGTGTAAGAAAGGCCTGAAATATTTACCTTTGAAAATATTAGTATGTCCTTACAATTAGGCTTCTCACCCCTTCCTATGAAAAAATAGGTCATATCAAAGGGAAATTCACAATGCAGACTTAGAAACTAAAGAATGAACTAAGAATTTGGAGACAAAAGTTGTTTTCCCAAATTCACTGCAGACTAAATATCTGATTCATTTATCTAACTCAATTATATACCTGATAATTTAGTATGTGGTAAATTATAAAATACTACTTTCAAGTTTTAAGGGTAAATGTTTTAATTTGACTTCCAGTGTCTTGAGTTTTAATATTTTGCCCATACATACTTTTACCTTTTATATAATAAGTCCCACTTCATCTTTTTACATTTCAGGAGTAAACAGTCATCCTTGAAACGCTAATTTTATGTCCCCACTAGGTAGGAAAGTATTCTTAGAAAGCATCTCAGTTGCATTGTCAAATGATTATTAAAAGAAAAAGTCTTCTTACAAAATAGCTAGGCTATTCATTAAATCAAACATTACAGTGGCTGGTCTAATATCTTTATGGACCATAAATTTAATTTATCTTTAATTCATATCATCAGATTCGTCTTTAGTCTTTTGCTGTTTACTATTTATTAATTAAATTTACACCAATATGATGACTTTTTAAAAACTTGGTGGGTTTTTTTTTTCAGCAATTTAAATAAAGAAAAGTCAGCTTTACTACAGATGAAGAATCAAATGGCATTAGATTTAGAACAACTTCTAAATCATCGTGAGGTACTTTTTCCATTTTATGATAATTTTTACCACTTTAGGCTTTTTCAGAGTCCATGTCGGGTTAAGATTATTGGATCCCAGTTGTCTGTGTTTATTACTGACTTCTCCATTTGTGTCTTACTGTGACCTGACCCTTTATATTCAACTTATGATATACTTTATTCTTTATTAATTAATTATACTTTATGCTTTGGGTTAATTCTTATGCCTGGAATGCCCCTTCTTGTTGACTCCTTGTTGCCTTGTTCATATCTCTGTCATTGAATTTCCGCATTATTTACTAATTATTTGTTTTATCTCTTTCTCTCACGAGACAGTAAATTTCTTTAGTGTACCTCTGTCTTATTCATCATTGTATGCCTGTGCCTAACGGATATTTGTGTTGAACTTTAAAGTTCATAAAGTACTTTTTTCCATTTGTTCATCACCAAAAATCTTTTAGAATTAATATAATTCCCATTTTATAAGAGGAGAAATGAGTTTTAAGTGGCTTACCCAAAGCCAGTTAGTAACTAAGAGATAACTCCAGTTTTTTTCTTGTTTTTTAAGTCAAATTCATTGAAGTACAATATGCATGTGGTAAATTTCACCCTTTTTGGCGTACATTTCTATTATTTTTGACAACACACACAGTTTAACCATCACCACGTTGATATATAAAATAGTTTCATCACCCCAAAAATTCCCTCATGCCCCCTTTGTATTGACCCTTTTTTCCAACTCTGGTCCTAGCAACCACTGATCTGTTTTTATCCCTGTAGTTTTGCCTTTTCCAACAAAAGGCATTATCCTTTTCCAGAATGTCATATAAATGGAATGAATCAGTATTAGTCTTTTCAGTCTGGCTTTTTTCATTTACCATAAAAAAGATTCATCCATGTTGTTGCAAATATTAGTTATTTATTCTTTTTTATTGCTGAGTAATATTTCATTGTATGGATATACCAGAGTTTGTTAATCCATTTACCAGTTGATGGAATTTGAGTTGTTTCCATTTGGGGCATCTATAAATGAAGCTGCTATAAACTGTCGTGTATGTGTTTTTGTGTAAATATATTTCCTTTTCTCTTGGTAAATACCCAGGAGCAGGATTGCTGGGTCCTATGGAAAGTGTTTCTTTAACTTTATAAAAAACTGTCACACTACTTTCCAAAGTGACTGTACCTTTTGCATTCTCACCAGCAATGAATGAGTGTTCCAGTTGCTCTGCATCCTCGCCAGCAGTTGGTATTGTGAAGCCTAGTTTTTTAATCCATTGCATTTTTTCCACTGAACTGTCACTGCCTTAGCCATAAGCCATGTTTTTACCACTTTGTTATCCTAACAGCGAAAGAAATGCTCAAAACAGATCGTTGGTTTATGAGTATCCTGAAGACACTGTTGCCTGAGAAAGATATACCAAGTATTTGGGAAGAAATTGTTGAAAGGATATTACTGATAGAGATATACTGGAGAATATTACTGGAAACAGTTCAAAGTTTCATTTCTTAGAAATGGTGTCAAGGGAATTGGAGGGCTGTCTCTGTCTTAGAAATGGCCTTTGGTGTGATTTCTTTTATTTTTTTTTTTCTTATATAATTATTTATTTATTTATTTATTTTTTCCCCCAAAGCCCCAGTAGATAGTTGTATGTCATAGCTGCACATCCTTCTAATTGCTGTATGTGGGACACGGCTGAGGCCGGAGAAGCGGTGCGTTGGTGCGTGCCCAGGATCCGAACCCGGGCTGCCAGCAGCAGAGCGCCCGCACTTAACCGCTAAGCCACTGGGCCGGCCCTGGAGTGAGTTCTTTTAAAGGTGTATTTTATATGGTGGATGAAAGGGATATGAAGGTGTCCCTGGACTAAATTTTAGAGACGACTTTTAGGTAGATAAGTAGCCTTAACAACAGGTTACAGACTCGGAAAAGCTTCTCTGAAGGTATTTATTCTTTTTTTCTGACTTCCAACATTTGAGGCCTTATCTACTATCACTTATGTCCTAGGATGCTGCCTCAAATAATTGTTTCTTCACTGTTGAAGCCTGATTCATTCACTATGTGGATTTTCACAAATGTTTTTAAAATTGAATATTTAAGAAATAGTAGCTACAGATGCCCATTCAGTCACACCAACTACTTTTTTAAAATAAGACTGCATAACAAGTATTTTTTCAGAATGGCTATTCTCATTTGATTTTAGAGGATTATACTAGACTCTGAAAAATATAGCAACTTTGTGTGTTTTGTACATCATACTTCGAATCACATTGTTCATGAGTCCAAATAAAACCTAAATTTAATGAAAATTAAATACTAGTAAGATGAAACTGCTATTGCATGGCATCAGTGAAATTTCTCATGGATGCATATCTAATTAAATAATTTTCAATAAATTTTTATGCATTTGGTAATATCTCTCCATTTTGGCAATTATATTTTAATAATCCAGCATTGTGACTTTTCTTAATGGCAAGCATATAAAGAAAAGTAGCTTTTTTTCTTTTCAAAGTAAGTAAAAATTAAAGTTTAATAAAACAAATCTGATACAAGTGTTTAAGCTTTTTCTAAGAAACAGTTTAATATCCACTTGCATAGAGTGTGCAGATGCAAAAGAAACTTTTGCAAACTGCTTATGTGGAAAGAGAACAGCTGGTGACCATGGAAATGCTTGACCATGCACTTGAACATTTACCTGATGAAATAGAGTCTGCAGCCTTGATTTATTCATTTTATGGCTCTGAGGGTCAAGTGCTCAGAATAGCCAATAAATAACAGTTTGATAAGAATAACTGATAAATATAATTTTTTGAAAGTGAAAATTAAGACTAAGTGAAGGGCTAAGACTAAGTGAAGCCAGCAAAGCACCTAGGGCACAAAATGTAGGCGGTGCCCACTTGCAGAGGACTGTACTGCTCAGCGTCAGCACCCCAGTCAGGACCCTGGCTGGGAAAGTGATCTAATGTGAGTCACTGCTTTAATCAGCTAAATTTTCTCGGTTTAAATTCATAATTCATAAAGAGATCAAATGAACCTTTTTAAGTTTTTCCGTTTCTTTTTGCACTGGACAACTCTAGCTCTAACTTTTTTAATCAGTGTCACTTAGTTCTGTATGACTGTATGTGGTCATGTAATATGAAATGAGATCACCAACTCATTTGTTATCAAGTATGTGTTAGGTGAAAAAAGAATACAAGTGGGCTAATTCTAGGTTGACAATTCTAGGACATTTGGGGCATGGCCACAAAGGGTTTTTATTTTCAATATTAGTGTTAGCTCAAAATTATTAGCTTAAAAGTAACTCCTCTCATGTTAGGAGTTCAGTTGTGGTCTAAAGATTTCTAGAAATGATAAAATCAATATTGGACTCTTACTCTATAAATTTTTAGCATTTATACATTCAAAAAGTGGTTGTGTGTAATTGGCATTATGAGTGGTGTATCAGGTAATTTTTATTCTCAACTACAGAAAATGTGTTAATCTAATAAAAAATATTAAAATATGAAGAGAGGGTGAGTAATGGAGAAAAATAGCATTTTTTAGGTTGCCTTTTTAGACCATAAAGCTCAACTGGGATGGGTAAATATATTAGGTTAAAGGATCTGCACAATAAATACTAATTAAAGGATATGATCATAAATTGAATTGAGATCTCTTACCTGTCCACACCTCTCCATTCTGAATTCTCCAAATTCTGTCCCTGTATTCAGTGAAACATTCATAAAGCAGAGTTAGAGGGAGGGAACAAAATATCCCTCCTCACAACATTCCTTCTTAAGGCACGGTTTAATGCCATGCTCTGTGCCTTTATAGAAGATCAAAACAGAATCTAGTGTCATCTCTTTTTGTTTTGTGAAATTACTTAAGGCAATCTAAGTACGTCCATTTATATTACATAATTTAGTCTTTACTACAGTCTACTGAGATAAATGTCATTGTCCCCACTTTTACAGATGAAACTAAAGCTGATAAGAGTTAAGTAACTGAACCATGATTACATACTTACTGTCAAGACTAAAAGTAAATGCTTTTATTTTCCTGAAACAAAAGCTTATGATCTTTCTCCGTAGTCCCATTTAGACAAAAATCTCATGGTGAATTACTGCTTGCATTAGTTCCAGGAAAATTTTTGCCTCTGTAGATGAAGTTATATCCTTCTTTCTTTTTGTCAGAAAGGGAAAATGATGTAATTTAATGTGTTTCCTTTTTGTCTTAGTTGCCAGAAAACTCAGAACTGAGTATCTTATCCAAGTGTTATAATCTCTTTTTTTTTGTCTTTTACTTTTGATGCCTCAGAATAACTTTGTCTATTTTCTTGTGGGCTGTAATACTTCTTACCCTTAAATGTTTTTGGGGGGTTTTTTTTTGGTGAGGAAGGTTGGCCTTGAGCTAACATCAGTTGCCAGTCTTCTTTTTGCTTGAGGAAGTTTGGCCCTGAGCTAACATCTGTGCCAGTTTTCCTCTATTTTGTACATGGAACACCACCTCAGCATGGCTTGATGAGTGGTGTGTAGGTCCACGCCCAGGATCCGAACCCACGAACCCTGGGCCACCAAAGCGGAGTACACAAACTTAACCACTAGACCACCAGGCCAGCCCCATCCTTAAATGTCTTCATGTATACTAAGACCTGTTAGGTGTAAAAATATAAAATATAAAAAGTATAAACCTTAAATAATTAGGTAAAAAAAAAGATAAAGGAAAAGATCAACTGGTAGGATCTCACTCTTGGGTAACAGTAGCAAGGCTTCAAATTAAACAGTTTGGATATAAGAAATGTGATTCTATAGAATGGCTTCTTTCTTATTGAGCATATCTCTCAGGGGTCTTTTTGAATGGTTTTCATTTTTCATCTATTTTTATTCATTCACATTTGCCTTAGTAAAACAAGATTTGTTGATCAACTTTGGAAATTCTAATTCTGCTTTTCTTTGTATATATATCATCATGTGTCTTTAGAATATAAGCTTTCAAGAGCAGGAAAAGTATCTTTAATCAGCCAAATGTTTGATGAAATACTGAGC